CACTACCGATTGGGCATAACATGCGAGTCATACCTGAACCTCGTTGGACTCCAGGGAGGGTGCTGCGTTTGTGTTTAGATGAGCCTCGCATTCCGCCCCCTGCGGCAAGGCCTGTTGCACCCCAAGCACCCCAGCCTGTTGTGCCACCGCCTCCTCCACAGCCCGCCATCCGGCCCGAACCGGATGTTGATGATGAGGATATGGCCCCCAGGGCAGATGATGCAGGGATTGCCAGTACTAGTCTTCTTCAAGTCAAGGCGTATCGCTGCAGGGCCCACGGACGGACGAATGCTGCATCTAGCATGTGTGCTGAGACCCTCAGCGAGGGCGGGCCCGACGATCACAGCAATCATCGTCCCCCGTCTCTACAGGCAACTCTGCCTACACCCTTTGGGCGCCGGTGTATTCCACGACGGCAAAGCGTCAGTGCATCTTCCGCACCTGGCCATGGGTGGAACCCTGGCTCCGTTACCGACGCTGACACGCCTGTCCCGAAACCGAAGCCCCTGGACAAGCAGAGGATCAGTCTAGAAGCTGCTCTTCCTCGAGCCAAAATGATGCCAATCCTCGAACGAAAGCTCAGCTTTGCGGCCACCCACGAGGTCCTAGCGGAGGCTGTTGCTCCTTTTTGTCGCGACCGCTTCCAGAAGGACATCAAAGGCATCTCCATGCACTCAGCAGCCGCCGCACTGCTACATGACCTCCCTCTCCTAAGGCAAGACCACACAGTTGAAGCAGCCATGCTCTATGTTGACGGTTCTTTTGATCCCACCAGCAGCACCGGAGCTTGGGCCGTCGCCATTCTTGCATTAGCAGAGGGTCAGTGGCGCTGGGCAGGTTTTCTAGTAGGCCGTTCCGGCCCGCGCACACACATGTCTAATGCCTTTGAGGCAGAGGTCTATGCTCAGCTGGTTGCACACCTTGTCTGTGTTGCCAACCTTTGGAAGCAGGCCGTCATATGTTATGATGCCACCTCCGCTGCGCAGGTTACCTCGGCTCAGGCAGCGGGCAAAGACATCGGTGTGCTGCAACGAGCCGCGGCAGCCAGCAGATTGCATGCCCTTATGCAAGGCTGTGCACCAGGCCTCACACACACCAAGAGCCACGAAGGTAATCCAGGCAATGAGCTTGCTGACTCCCTCGCTACTTGGGCCCCGAGCCAGCCATCCAGCGATCTGGACGACCACATAGCAGATCTGATTCAGGAACGCATTATGGACTGGCTTTGGCTGCTGCAGCCTGCCTTTGCTCCTGCCAGCTGGCCGACGCTCGATGCCTCCGGTACCACGAAGCTGGCGCAAAGGCAGCAGGAGTATACCCTGCCTCTAGCGCCTGCTGCCTGGAGTCCGCCGCGTACGGCTACAAAAACCAAGGCGGCCAGTATCTCCTGGAAGATGTGTACTTATAACACACTCTCTGCCCGGTCCGCATTGCAACGGCACAGCCTGCAAACCTTCATGCGCAGCCAGAGCCTTGAAATCTTAGCTCTTCAGGAAACAAGAGAATCTCCTGACCCTGTTAAGATCGTCGATGGAGTCTATCGATTCGCCAGCGCTGCACTGGCAGGTCAATGTGGCTGCCAGATTTGGGTTGATACCAGATGCCACCCGGGCAAATGGGACTTGCGTTCCTTTGCCATTGTGCACAGCCATCCAAGACTGCTGGCCGTTACAGCCGTATATGCCGGAGAGCGGGTCGCTCTGATCTCCGGACATGCACGCACGTCGGTCTCAACACAGGAAGAAATCCATGAGTGGTGGCAATTGATGCACAGTGTGCTCAGAGCCCTGCCAAGGGGGCACATCCCTGTTGTCTGTGCCGATACCAATGCCCGGTGGCAGGGCACCACGGCCTGCAACTGCAATGCATACCATATGGAGGAGTTCCTCCAGCATCATGACTTGGCATCCTCCGGCACTGTGGATTATCAAGGGAGGCCCGTCACCACCTGGCGATCCCCCAATGGTAAGCCAGCTTGTTTGGATTTTGTCATGTTTCCGCGCAGCTGGCAGCCCTCTGTCAGCAATCTGGGTACAGTCGACATCCTCGACGAGCATGCGGGCATCGACCACCAGCCCTTGCTGATACACATGAAGTTGTGCTTCGAAGAGCATACTGTCCACAAAACTCAGCGTTTTGATGTGCATGCCATGCACACCGCAGAAGGCAAGCAGTGCATCCAAGAGATTTTCCGTGGGGCGCCGCAGCCTAGCTGGGAAGTCGGCGTCGATGAGCACCTTGCCACTCTCAATGCCTATTTTCAGCGTGAGCTTGGCAAGCGCTTCAAGACATCTCAAAATAAGCCGCGCAATCCGGTCGTCTCCGATACCACTTGGCAGTTGCTACAATGCAAGAGGCAAATACGGAGAGCCCACCAAGGGCGGACGGCGTCGCAGCAGTACTCCTTGCTGCGATCGGCCTTCCGGGCCTGGCGTGACCAGGGCAATCCCGTCAAAACTCGGGCCCATGCCAAAGCCTTTCGCCAAGAGATGGTGCACCGTATGGCCAAGGATACATGCTACTGCCTGACCATTCGCAGGCTCAGCAAGCTGGCTAAGCATAGCATCAGGCAGGATGAGGCGCAGTATACCCGACATGCGTTCCAAGAGGCCCACCAAGAAGGGCCCGTGCGCATGGCGCATCTGATCAGGGCCGTCTTGAAAACAGGCCGCCGATACCAGGCTCCCAGGTTGGCCATCACACTCCGACAGGAAGACGAGCTCATCACTGATAGGGCGGAGGTCCTCCGTCGGATGGGGCAGCACTTCGCCAAGGCGGAGATGGCTGACCCTCTCCCTTTTGCAAGTCTCCGCGATCAGTCCGAGGGCCCCGATGGAAGCCACTTTGAAGCCAGCTCCATGCCTTCAGTCGGAGACCTGGCGCATGGATTTGCCTCCCTCAAACCAAGGAAGGCACCAGGCCTCTCGGGCTTGCCAGGCGATTTCTATCGGGCCTCGCCCAGCCTCGCTGCAGCCACGCACTATCCCTTAGTGTTGAAGATGGCTGCGAGAGGCCAGTCCCCACTCTTATGGTCAGGCTCTCTGTCTGTCCCCTTGGCGAAACCAATGAAGTGCCCCCTCACGCCAGCGGGATACAGAGCCATCGCCTTATTAGAAGCGGCTGCGAAAGCCACAGGTAAAGCCATGCGACATAGCCTACTGCAAGGTTTAGAAAATATTGTGCAGCCAGGCACTGCAGGGGCGCGCAGAGCAGTGCCGATGGAGGTTCCTGCGATGACAGGGCAGGCCTACCTGGACTTCTTGAAAAGCAGCGCCCAAACCGGAGCCCTCCTGTATGTGGATGGAGTTAGTGCTTTTTACTCCACAAATCGCCACATCCTTTGCCAAGGCAGTGAGGCGGACCGCATCCAATGGGTCCAAGGTTTGCCGATCGAGGACAGCATCAAGCAAGCCTACCGAGAGATCACCCTGGACAGGACGGCACTCGATAGGGCTGAGCTCGACCAGATCATTCAAAAGTTGGTCCAGGCCAACTTTGAATGCACGTGGTTCACCACGCTGCCGGACGACCCACAAGTCCACCGCACACGGGCGGGCACTGTGCCAGGGGCTCCTTTGGCGGACCTACTCTTTCAGCTTGCAATCGCGGCCAGTTACCAGTGCATGCGCGACTGCCTCCGTGCGGAAGGTCTGCTGGTCACTGTCCAGGGCACGGAGGCAGTCCTCCTCACGTGGTTGGACGATTTTGCAGTCCCAGTTGGGGCCTGCAAACCGAGCGACCTGCCACACCGTCTGTCGCGTACTGCCAGTATCACTGCCCAGGCCCTTAGCACCTCTGGCATCGCCATGAATTTTGCGCCTGGCAAATCCGAGGCAATTGTCATTGTGCAAGGCAACGGCGCGCAGAAGGTTCGTACCGAATTGTTTGTTGCGGGACAAGGTACGATACCTGTTGACATGCCCGATAGCTCACAGGCTCAGCTTGTATGTACCGAGCATTATGTCCACCTTGGCACAAAACGCACCCCTGAGTGCTCAGCGGTCCCCGACATACAGCGCCGGCAAGCGGCAGCTAATGTCGTCTGTACCAAAGTATGCACTCGGCTTTTGCGCAACCCCGTGCTCACCAGGGCGGAGAAATGCCACTACTACTTCTCGCTGGTGCTGAACCGCTTCTTGCATGGACTAGCCACTTGGCCCATGTCTACACGCAAAGAGCGAGAATGCTACCGTGCAGCCTACCTCGGTTTCTTGCGCAGGGCTGTCAAGCCCCTGCATGGCTACCACTGCTGGCGCATGACGGACCAACATGTCTGCATAGCGATTGGAGCCTTGCTGCCGGAAGAGGCAATGCATGTGGGCCGCATTCGCATCCTTCGCAGATCGCTGCGCATGGGACAGCATTCCTGGGTGAACTTTTGGCAGCGTCACAATCCTGGCTGCACCAAGCCCAACTAGCTGTTCACTGGGCAGTGCAGCTGGTGCCCAATGCGCGTGTGTCAACGGTTGCAGCAGACCCCGCAGGGCCGCGATCTTCTGTCCTGGCCCCTGGATGCAGCAGGCACCCGCAGTTTTCTGAAACGGGTCCGCACCAAAGCAGTTCAATCTAGAGCCCATCTCGAGCCTTTGATAGCGACTCGGGCAAAGGCTCTTCATAAAGCAGAGGCACAGGGCATGCTCATCGTCAAGCTCCTTACAGGAGCAGCGACGCACCGATGCGCTCAGTGTGGGCAACTCTGTTCTACGCCGTCGGCCCTGGCAGCCCACTGCGAAAAGGTCCACGGACAGCGTGCGCCCTGTCGTAGTGCTATCGGGACATCCTGCCAGGCCTGTTCCCAGGAATTCTGGTCGACATCTCGATTGCGTGAACACTTGCGTCGAGCGCGGTGTTGCAGTGCTACATATGTCGGCGCAGACCTCGATCCCCAGCCGGACGAGGAGCTGGGTACCAAACAATGCCCAAAACAGCCCTTTCATGGTCCTCGCCCATTCTGGGCAACGCTCCGCCCTGCGCCAGAGCAGGCCAATACCTCGACTCCCTCATTCGCCGCAGGTTCCCTGATGCAGATGTTAACAACGGTCCACGAAGTGGCGGATCTACCATCGCTTTTCAAGCGGTGGTGGCAGGTTACTGATAGCGATGAGGTTGAGGCGACCCGGTCCCAGGTGATTTCGCTCCCTAGGGATTCGATGTCCCCGGCGTGCAAATTTGCCGCCGAGTGGATCCAATTTTGCTCCGCGACCACATGGGTGTCGCCTTTTTCGGCAGAGGGACTAACTGCAGTACAGAGCTCTGATAAGCTGATGATTGCTGAAGACAGCGTCATCCAGGAGCTACGCAGTTCAGTCACCGATGCCATGCTGTTTGCATGAGAGAATGCAAGGCGCGTCGACAGACTCGAGCCAATCCCGAAGAAGAAGAACCCTGAACCCTAAACCCTGAACCCTAAACCCTGAACCCTAAGCCTTAAAATCTCAACACCTCAGTGCCACACTGCAAACCCGGAGCCTATGGCTCGACTGAAGGATCACGGGAAGTAGCTCAAGCAATGTTTGTATCTACCTATAACCCAATAAAGGTACTGACCTTACTTACTGAGTCCCTGCAAGAGCCTTGTAAGTAAGCCCTACAAACCCGGTCAGCCATGTAAACCCCAATCTGACGCGCCTGGCTCCCTGAGCCGATCCTCCTCCGAAGAGTCGAGATCACCTCACTGAGGGCTTATCAAAGGGGAAAAGGAGGGACCCTTAATGGGGACCCCTATCCTACAATGGGCTATATAATGGGTATATAGTAGCTATATTATGGGTATATACCTAGGGGTCCTTATTAGGGGTCCATCCTTTTACCCTTAAAGCTTACGGCCCTCAACCCTAAGCCCTAAAGTTGAGTTCAGAGCTCATTTCTCTGGCCACGAGAATAGTATGTTGCTTCTTTCTCTGTCAGGCCTGGTCTGCTCGTTACAAAAACCTTCGATGTCTTCTTTGTTTAAGGCCTGTTTGCTTATATATGTATGTGTGTATATATATATATATATATATATATGTGTGGCTACTTTTGGCTACACGTGTATATACATACATACATACATACATACATACATACGGACATACATATGATTATTCAAATGTGTTTGTTGGTAAATTGATTTACTCATGTTGTTATTTGACTTACATGCGCATATTTGTCCGGGGCCTGCATTGCTTCGATGGGCTTTCTGGGTTGTAGCTGTTTGAAGCTTCTTTCATGAGTGCCAGAGTTTGGGTTCCGGGCTTTAATGATCTTATAAACAGAACGTGTTTTATGCGGGAGCATACACTGTGGAAATAGCGCTGCATCTATTACTCTCTTGCGTGTGTCTCGCTTTACAAGGTCTGCGATGGGACTCTGTCGATAATCATCGATTGCTATCGGTTGATGATATAAATATAAATCCTGCATTACCCTTAGTAAGGAGTATACTATAATTCCCATAGTTTAGGGTCCTTAGGTAATGCAGGATTTATATCGTCAACAGTATGCTCCCAACCGTGATGGCTGCTGGGCAGGGGGATCTAGGCATGCGAGGCCTGCAACCTACAGGGCACAGGTAAGTTTCAACATGCGGAGAAGCTTGCATGGGCCCAGAGTTTAGGTGTTAAAGTTAATGTTTTAGTGCTTTGGCCGTAGATGAGCTGATACATTGCCACGTCCCTGTGCATTGCTGCTGAGCACGCCTCTAGGGTGCGAAACCGTGTAATTATGCTTCACGCCTGCGACTTGAAACCCCCAGGCTCGAGGTCCTTAAAATGCTTTACAGCCGATTTCTATGCCGTACCCACGCGACTACTGCTAAAATCACAGCCATACTGATTAATTACAAAAGCATCACCCTTCTGACGATGACGTTGGTTGCAAGCGCCTAACACGGTGTTGCTGCCATTGCTTCGAGACTCAGCTCTCTGCAACAGAACAACCACACATTGACAAGTTCTGACCGCCAACGTCGCAAGTAAGCAAGCCTGTGCCTGTCGTTGGTAGATTCTAAATCCTGAATATAGCCTGCATCCCACACCCTACACTCCAAAACCTGAAACCCTGAACCATAAACTTGAAAGCTGGAATCACCAAACCCTAAACCATAAACCCTAAGAGCCTTAATCCCTAAACCCTAAACCCTAAGAGCCTTAACCCCTAAACCCTAAACCCTAAGAGCCTTAATCCCTAAACCCTAAACCCCAAGAACCCTAAACCCTAAGACCCCTGATCCCCACCAGAAATCTGAAAACCCTAAGAGCCCTCCAAAGGGGTCTGGTGAGAAATTGGCTTTTGGGCTTCCTTATGATAATTGTAGTATCATATGCCCCCCAAAAGCCTATTCTAATAATTTAGGCCCCTAAATCATAGTGCCGTTATAGATTTTTCATAGTAGAGTAACCCTTTAAGGACCCCTATTCTAATTCCTTAGGCCCCTATATTCACCCTGTCTTTGCAGAAATAATAGACAGCGCCATATACCTATATCCCTTGGTAGGAATTATTTAAGAAGGTCTACTAGCCGGTCTGTTGATTCTTTTGGGGGAACCATGAAAAAGGACAAGGCTGCCTATGTTACCACGGGGCCTGGTGAGAAATTGGCTCGGCTGTCCTCGTCTTCCGCAATCGTCGGGAGAATCGTGGTCCTGGCGTTTTTTCATGGCTTAGGGGTTTAGGGGTTCAGGGGTTCAGGGGTCTAGGTGTTTTAGGGTTTAGGGTTTAGGGGTTTTGGGGGTTAGGGGTTTAGGGGTTTAGGGGTTTAGGGGTTTCGGGGTTTAGGGGTTTAGGGGTTTCGGGTTTAGGGCTTTAAGGTTTAGGCTTAGGGGTTTAGGGTTTCGGGTTCAGGGGTTTAGGAGGTTAGCCCGGGGTTTAGGGGTTTAGGGGTTAAGGCTTTAGGGGTTTAGGGTTCAGGGTATTTTCGACAGTTGCTGAGCGTGTGAGGTTGCGCCAACTAAGTAGGAACGACTGCCGATACCGAAACCCCGTCCTTACCCCTAAACCCGAAACCGTGGCTTTACCTGGAAAGCAGTGAAACCTTCAAGCCGGGGCCCCGAAGCCATTCCTGCCATGGAAATTGAAGCATATGTCCATACTAACCCTTGCTTTCACGGACGTTATTATCGAATCCTTAAGAGGTCTAGGGCCCTAACTACAAGGTCCTTGGAAGCATAGGGTAAATTTCCCAGCCGCTTGACCTTCGAAAGTTTAAGATGTTACCTCTGTCTTAGTGCTCGGCTTCGATCAAGAACCCCCAAAACCCACGCATCAAAACAAGTAATGTACACAGCCGCAAAGCCGCCAGCCGAAACCCTAAACCCTGCACCATATTGCCTAGTTTGCTTAGACCTCAAACCCTAAACCCTAGGGGACCTAAGACAGCTCCCACCTCGACTCGCGGCACGCCGAGGATGTTTTTTCGACCGACGGCATCGGACGGGCTTGCATGAGACCCCAGGGGCGCAAGTTCTTGAACAGGTAACCGTAAATCCTCAACCCAGATAGGAACCAACCTAGAGACATAAAAGATCTGCACACAATTAACAAGATGTATGTGTATATGTATAAACATGCACTTGTATCGTGAGTAGATTACAGATTTCATGTCTGGCATGAATCTCTCTGACACCTCTGTAGCCCCGGTCCCGGCGCAAAAGGCTGAGAAACATCTTATGATGCCATGATCGACAGCACTTCACTGTACTGAGCCCGAACTGCCATCTGACCTTGCCTACCGAAACCACAAGTCCCAAAAACCAAACATGATGATGAACTGGAGGCAATCTTCGAAACATGTGCAGTGCCTTGGCTGCGAGCCGGCAGAGGCAGGTTCCGGAGTGTTTTTGAAGAAACACCCTAAACCCTGAACCCTAACCTAAAGCCCCAAATGGCCATGAAGTGGAAAAGAACAAACTCATCAACCGCTTTGTGCTTGAGGCCCCAACATTACTTTTTGTAGGGTCCCAATATTAAGGATTATAATGGTAACCGCCAAGAAAAGTAGTATCCCTATGATAATCTTTGTCGGGAGCGAATCGCAGCTGGCGTCGAGCGAATCGCAGCTGGCGTCGTTGTTCAGGGCATCACACAAACTAGGACCCCATAAGGCGAAGGTACAGTAACAAAACGAAGCCACTGCATTTTAGGGTCTAGGTATCCTAACTCAGCCGTTTCAATATCACTTTGGAGGTGATCATTGTGGCTGATGTGTTAAGGCAGTTGACCTCCAGACAATGTCAGCTACGTCAGGCGATGGTCATTCAAACCGACCTCACTTCGCATGGACATACCCATAGGCTCCATAGTAGTTCCTCTTCGGGGCTCATGTTTAGAATCCTGAAAGGTAATCCCAATAAGGAACTACTATGGAGCCTATGGGTAGGGGTTCTGATATTGGGACTGGCGTGATTTTGCTGCAATGATTCTAGTGGTCGTTCTTCAAACTTGAAGTGGTCTTTGGTAAGCTACTATGTCCTAAACACCCCTATCAGCCATGTCCGGGGTATACCTACCCTACCTCAGGATCCAACACAGAAACTCCCCAAACTCCTGACTAAGGAATACACCGCAACAAAACAGAATGAAGATCTCGTACCCGCAATTTCAAGCAATAAGTTTACCTCTGTATAAAATCAAAGGAACTAGAAAGCCAAACACACTCAAAATGCAGCCTGAAACTTGAAATGCCAGATGGGCGCCCTCAGCACCCATGATTGATGTCATGCTGATTGCTAATGTTCTTGGGGTGCAGGAACTCACCCTGAACCCTAAACCCTCAACCCTAAACCTTAAACCCTACACCCTCAACCCTAAACGCTCAACCGCGTTGGGGTGTCGGGGCCCCGGCCATTTCAACCACGCTCCGCTTGGCGGACAGGTCCGTGATGGTGCGGGTGATCTTCTTTCGAGTGGCCTTTAAGATTCCGGGTCTTGTGGGGGTTAGGTTTAGGGTTTAAGGTCTAGGGGTTGGGGTTTACGGGTTTAAGGTTTAGGGGTTAGGGTTTAGGGGTTGGGGTTTAGGGTCTAGTAGGGTACTGTAGGGACCTTCATAATTAGAACATGGTTCCTTTAAAGGGCTTTATATTATAAGGGTTACTCTAAGGGATACGATAATGTAGGGATAGTAGGGTTCAGAATTTAGGGTGCTGTAGGGGCCTTAGTAATTGGAACTGGGTCCCTTTAAAGGGTTCTCATAGCGGGTTCTATAATTAGGGTTACTACAAGGCCTACGATAAGGGTCTAGTGTAGGGGCCTTAACAAGCTGCGAAATGCCTGGCCGCAAGGTGGACGCCGAAAGATGTGTACGCGAGGTGAACCCTCCCCTCTGCCGACGAACAGGCATGCGACCTTCCTGTTCAACCCTAAACCCTAAACCCAAAACCCAAAACCCTAAACCCTGAACCCAAAACCCAAAACCCAAAACCCAAAATCCAAAACCCTAAACCCAAAACCCAAAACCCTAAACCCAAAACCCAAAACCCAAAACCCAAAACCCAAAACCCTAAACCCTAAACCCGAAACCCAAAACCCGAAACCCTAAACCCAAAACCCAAAACCCTAAACCCAACGGTGCATACATTCATGTTTCTCCGAGAGCTAAGCTGGGGAGCCTCGAGTTAAGGCAGCCCTATCGCCGATTGAAGCCTGGTCCCAGACTCCAATACCCCTTAATTAGGGAATATTCCTTAAATCATATTCAGGATCCTACTATTATTTAATTAGGGAATATTCCTTAAATCAGATTAAGGATCCTACTATTATTTAAGGTATATTCCTTAATTAAAGGGATATTGGAGTCTCTGGGGTCTTGTTTATTGTGGACCTGGACTCTGGGATCGGAATTGTCCAGTACCCGAAGCCCTTTCGGTTTAGGGTAGGGCTTAGGGTTTCGGGCTTACGGCGTCGGGTTTGGAATATTTGAAGTTTGGGTTGCTGACTCTGATTTAAGGTCTGAGGAATTGGGGTCTAGAAGTACATAGGGTTTCGCGGTGAGAAAGAGCTTCGGGTCTTTATGGGCCCAGGCCGAACAATATCCCGAAATGAAGGACATACCTTACATCATATTATGGGTCCTGCTAAAGGCGTAAGGCATATTATAGATCCTACTAGAACTTAAGGTATATTCCTTAATGCGGGATATTGGAGGGTCTGGCGAGTTCAGGCTTTACTGTGAATCACACTGGGCTTCGTGCCGGGGACTATTTCGCAGATCGGGAGTGAAAGTCTCCGAGTGACAGTTCTTGAATTAAGACTTGAGGACTTAGGGTTTAGGTTAGGGGTTTAGGGTTTAGGGCCGGGCTATTTGAAGGGTTCCTTTAAGGGACCTTTTAGGGTTTAGGGTGTAGGTTAAGGGTTAAGGCTTTCATTGTTTAGGGTGGCTTAACCCGCCGCCTTGTTGACATCGAAGAACTTAAAGTCCATGTTGTCATCGAAGTGGTTCCTCATGGTGGCATGGCTGAATCTGGGAAGGAGCTTTGGGTATCTAATAGTCTCCCCGTATCGTCGATTGTGATGTTGGATGGTACTATAATTTTGTATACCGCCCCACCAGAAACCAGCTAATACCACTCTTAAACGCATGTTCGGGCTCGGTTGCTGGGGTTCATTACAGGTTTTTGCCCTCCGAACCTCCAGAACGTTTACATATCCTAAACAGTAAACCCCCTTATTCTGAAGCTGAACCTTACGCGACCCAATACAGGGACCTAAATCATGAGAATACTGGAACTAATATACTATAAGACTATAAGTATCTTCAGGAATCCAAGGAAATGGTATTGCCAGGTCCTCAAGGTTCTATATAGCAACCTGTGAATGTACGAGTGGATAAGGGTTGTCAGTGAGACAAACACACAGCTTACAGTCAAAGCCTAAACCCTAAACACTAATATGTACAGTCAAAGCCTAGACCCTAGACCCTAAGCCGTCAACAGCAGATCTTGCTCATCTGGGGCCACTATGGCACGGTTAGAACCGGTTTTGCGTTCTTGCAGCTCCTTCTTATGTCTGCCCTCTATTGAGGGGTTTAGGGTTTAGGGTCTAGCCCCTCACACCAAAACCCTAAACACCAAACCTTTTAAACCCGAAGCCCCTAAGCAAGCTTAAACCCCCAAGCTCTACGTTAACCCCAAATGACCTACCCTTTTCAGGGACATAAAAAAGGAAATCATCATAGGGAGCCCAGAAAAGGAAGGCTTGATAAGGTCCAGGTATGGCTTACCCTACACCCTACACCCTATCCTAGACCCTAAACCTTAAACCCTCCACCCTAAACCCCGAAACCCTAAACCCTGAACCCTAGACCCTAAACCCTAAACCCCTAAACCCTAAACCCCCAAAGCCCTAAACCCCTCAACCCTAAACGCTTTCGCTAGGCGCCTTCAGAACCCGGAAACCTGCGGCCTCCCCAAACACGCAAGCGCAAACCAAAGGCACGAAACCCCAAGGCTCTGGCTTTGAGGCTTTTCAGGAATAAGGAATGAGGGTTTTAGGCTTGTGAGTTTGGAGGTCTGACTTGGCGATTTGAGGCTTTAGGGTGAGAATTTGAGAGTTTGGAGGCTTTAAGGCCTTACGGTTGGAAGGTTTGAGGGTTAGTTTTGGGGCATGAGGATGTTAGGGCATTATGGAAGGGTTCTCGATACCCAATTAGACCTACGAGTAGACCTATCAGACCAGGATACTGGAACATGACAAAACCTCGACTTGCACGCTATCTACCTTGGTCCAGTGAGTCCAGCGTGTCATTTCAATGAAACTGTCACGGCCCTCAAACGTCTAAAGGCACAGCGAGAATCTTCCACACGGTGCCGCTCTTGATGAGCTTGTTCGGCAACTTGCCCTGTCCGCTCGACAGTGGAAGCTGTCATCCTTAAGGGGGTACCTTTAAGTCACGAAACTTAGGTTAACAATATTACAGGACGGTGTCTCTTCATAGTATCTTACACCAGTAGTCTCCTGTATGGTTCAACCAGCTTGATGGTTAGCTTCCTATACAAAGGTAACACCAAAACGAACTTTCTTGGAGACGACAGATACTGTTAAGTTACCATACGGGTTTACTCTAACCCGGTCAGCATAGGGTGGCTGTCTGATCAAGGGTAAACTAGCATAACCTGTCCTCGCAGGATTGAGAAGGAGTCTGGCAGTTTGGCGGATCAGGAAACAGACTGTGGAGCATAAAAAATGAGGTGGCCTTTCCCAGGCCTTCCAAAATCCCTTAATTAAGGAAAATACCTTAAATCATATTAGGGATCCTACTATGATTTAAGGTATGTTCCTTACTTCAGGGATTTTGGAAGGTCTGGGTTCTTCAAAGCCAATCATGAGCAACCTGACTACGCCCTTCCCTAGCAGGGGTTGCACAGGAGATCCGACCATGAAGGCCTGCCCCTCGCTCAACTAAGAGAAGAAAGATCAAACACAAATCGAGCTTGGGCCTCATACGGTTGATGATATAAATCCTGCATGACCTTAAGGACACTAGACTATGGGAACTATGGTATATTCCTTATTCTGGGTGATGCAGGATGTATATCATCAACCGTAAAGAATAGAAAGGGTACATGATTCAACTGCGAATTAAGTTGCCTTGACCCTGAACTCCCTAATCCCTTCGAAGCAAACCCTGGTCGACCCCCAACCCAAGCTTTCTAAGCTCTACTGTAGGGGCCTAATTCATTGGAACAGAGCTTTGGGAGCCATTATAGTACTAAGTGTAAGGAACCCCGACATAGGATTGGTAATTATTTAGGCTAGGGTTGAGCACTGCATCTGTTCTGCCAGCCTTCACTTCCATGAACAACCTCAGCATGTCGTTGTTGGTCCTGAGCAGGTCATGGGCATCTTAGACAAGGCTTGAAGCTTTTGGGCTCGGTTTAGGTTTGGGGTTTCGAAGATCGAAAGTAGCCCTTCGTGGCTTGAGATCTGGGGTCGCTGGCTACATCGTTGAAGTCTTCAGGATTTGGGCCAAGTGCTACGCCACGGGTGAAACCAATTGTGTGCTCGGTGGTGATCGTGAACGGTGGTCCATTGCAGAATCATCCAGCTTGTGTCAGGGAAAGACCTTTCGCTTATCCCGTAACCTCTATAGGTCACTTTAAGGCCCAAGTATATACAAAGGGTTTGCAACGATGAACGCAAAACTGGAGCTTACCACCGACAGCTTCCTGCTGCTTTCGCCCTGAGCCGAAACTTGGAGAGCTAGGCGAGGTCATGACCAGAGGATATGTGTAGAGCGGAGCGAAAATCAGCTAACCATGGTTATATTTGGAATAGTGTGGCCCTAGATGCACAAACTCCTGAAAACACGAGCAGCTCTTCTCTTAATCCAGGCTTCAAGCCACCAGTCAAGAGACAACCGCGAGTACATGCGACAAAGACGACCGCCAAATCGCATGAACAGCTAACTTAGAGAGCTCTGCAGCAGTTTGGTGTACAGCTTATGCTGGTTTTAGCGTTTAAGGCAGTCAGTCTGTGTGTGTGTGTGTGTGTGTTGTATGCGTTGGTTTTAGCTTAGGCGAGTTTGGATGTTGTGGCTCCGTCTCATGAAACCCGAAATCCTACCAAAAGTCTCCGTTCTAGTACCATTTTGGGGGCTACCTTTTTGGATCCTAACTGTAAAACTGGTTAAACCATAAAAAGGAACTACAATGGAGCCAACAGGTAAACCCTCAAACTCTACCATCTTGGCTGAGCCCAATACCCCATAATTAAGGTTTATGGCTTGAATTATATAGGGCTTCATGTTAAAATTTAGGCTATATTCCTTAATTAAGGGGTATTGGGCTCTCTGAGCCGTCAGCTTCCCAGGGAAGAGGATCTTCCCGGTGAAGAGCTCGAAGAGCGTGCAGCCCATGGCGAAAACGTCCAGAGGAAAGGAGTACCTTCCAGGGTATTAGGGTTGAGAATTTGGTTAGGGTTTTTCAGGGTTTAGGGTTTAGGGTTGAGGATTTGGTTAGGGTTTTTCAGGGTTTAGGGTTTAGGGTTCAGGGTTTAGTTTGGGTTTTTCAGGGTTTAGGGTTTAGGGTTCAGGGTTGGGGTCCGACTGTAACTAAATTGACATCGGGCTCGCAAGTGCTAGTGGAAGTTCAAAAGCCGAGCATGGCATTTCTGGAGCTTTCAGGGGAAATCCATCTCCTGCACACAAAGGATCTCGATTTTGACAGCTCGGCTGATTGCCACGGGATGGGGTATAGATGAACATATTGATGCCCGTGGAACATGATGGTTCGTATTATGGTGGTTTGTTCTAGGTTGGGCCAGGCAAGGAGGAGGAGAAGGAGGCGGAGGCGCAGGACGACGTCGATGATGGCGTTGACTTTTGCTGCAATCTGAAGCTATGCTGAACCTGGCGATATCTACATTGTGATGATGATGGTGATGCTTTTCGAGATAGTCCGGCAAAGCTCGTAGACATTGAGCCGCATTCAACGAAACACGCAAATCCAACCCCAGGAATCCGAAACCCTGAGCTTAATAAAATGACACACACTCAACGCCCCAGGTCATGCAAAGCTGTGCTGAGCTCACTTCGCCGCCAAGACGATCTCCGGTGCCCGGTAGAAGCGGCTAACAAGGTACGGCGTGGGCTCTACCTGTCCCAGGAGGTAGGGTTCAGGAGGGTTGTGCGGTTTAAAATCCATTACTAGTGCATGCCGCTTTCAAACATGGAATCTGGGTGTAATTTAGGGCTCGGTGAAAGCATCCTACGTTCGAGCTTTAGCTGACCGCGGTGTGGGATCTGCCTAAAGTACTCCACCCTTCCGAATTCCATCCTGCAAATGCTGGATCGAACTTTCTTGCAGTTGGTGGAGTCGCACCCGCACGTTGGACCGTTGCTGACCGGGACACCATGACTTGCAAACAGAGCAAATTTTGATCGGAATTGATGAGCCATCCGCTTGACCTCGGTGGCCCGCTATTCTTCGGACTTCGGCCACTCCAAGATGATAGCTGCCAGCTCGGGCACTCTGGTCGTCGGCACCAGAGAGCCCCTTTTGGTTTCATTGTCATACAGCGCCGTCGCAGTAGGCAAAGTCAGGATGTTGCCCCTCCTTTGGAACCAGAACTCCCTCGTCGCGGAATTCACATCTGACATGGACTCCCTCCGGGACGATCCGTTCGCGGAAGTCGAAGGCCATACCCAAGGGACCACTATTAAGGGGCAACTGTGGAAAGGGATGTGGGATCAAGGATTATTTAGAAATCCCTAAACCCTAAACCATGGACCTTCAAAGGTAGAGTGATCAAGGATTCGATGCTTTGTGGCACCTGGCCAGTAACCGCTGCATTGGGGAACAAGTTTTAGGTATGCAGCAGCGTAAGGTGTAGTTAGTGTCCAAACATTGTTGTGTGGCTACATTGTCCCTTAGTCAGCATTGTAGCCACAAGACTGGCTCACCAAAAAGGAACTATGCTGGAGTCCTGCTGGAGTTGCAGATTTTCCAGGTTTGCATCGCATCTGCATCCCCGCAGCCGAATCTACGGGCTTGTAGGTCGAGATACACGGAGCCTGGTAGAGGGGGGTACAATCTGCAATATAGGGATCAGACTAGGTTGTATAACTAGTAACTACCCTAAGGCCCCAAAGCAGTTCCTTTTTGGGGTTCATATATAGAATCCTATGAGGTAATCCCAAAAAAGAACTACTATGGGGCCTCTGGGTAGCAACAGTGTCCCCGTATAGTCCTTATCTGATGAATCTTTCTTTAACGGATCCTCCAGAGGCGGCACCGGATGCTCTAAACCGAACACAGCAGGAGCCTTAGCTAGTACCCAGTCATACTCTTGCTTAACCCTAAGGCTCAACATAGCCCAAGAGCCTTATGTAGTATGGTCTTTGGGCCTAAAAGCCTTGATATATGAGTCCTTAGAGCCTTACGGTAAGCTTCCTTAACTACACGACCCCAATCCCTAAACCGTCGTGTGAGTAGTGAGGCCCGTATGTTCCACTACTGAAGCCGCAAATAGCCTCGGTCAGCTCCATTGCGCTTCCCAGATCGCAGATCTTAACCTGGGTCGGGTTTTGTAGAGTTGCATGGTTGTAAGGTTTGAGAGTTCAAGGTTTAGGGATTTGGGGTTAAGGGTTCCGGCTCCTAGGGTAATAGAGGGACGTTGGGTTGTCAGGTTCAGGCCTTTACACGTTCCAACGCTAAACCTCCTTGTGGGGAATCGTAATTCAAATCTATCAGGCTTCAACATGCCATACCAGCTACCAAATCTACCAAAAGACTTTGGGACTGCTATATATATATATATATATATACAATCTATAGCACGATATTGATACTTCGACCATTTGGGATCTGTTGATAAAGGCTTGCCAAAAGGTTACTCTTGATTCATCAGACCTACTTTCTGTGACTTTTATGTTCTTTGCAATGAACAATTTGACATATCGGTCGTTTAGGGCGTATAGCAAAGTCTGGCGACCTTGCTTACGAAGTCTCCTGATCCTCCCAAGCCCTAAACCCCTAACCGATAAGGGAAGCTATGCAGAAGGAAGGCTAAAAAACGTCACCTTTGCAAGTGCCTTGCCTCTAAATAATGGCATCCTTGTACATAATACTTTCCGCTTCATTATTGCACGAATTAAACAGGGTAGTCGAACATTCTGAAAGGCAAACCTGAAAACTCTAAGAGAGTTGGGCTTTCGGGCTCACGGTTTGACAAAAAGTGCATGATTTTGGGGGTGCGGCGTCGCGTTACATGCTTTACATGTAGGCCCTCACTGCAAGACGGTAAACTCTAGAGGAGCCATGCACATGAACGGTCCAAACAACAACAGAAACCAAGATACTTGCACCACCACGCATATCAACATGAACAGCACACCTCACCGAGCCACTACTCCCACCACCATCAACCCATCGTCATCCTCCTTTTATCAGACGTATACCAATACCTACAAACCCATAAAGGGACTTTAATGTGTCGAACAGGTTTTCGAGGGTTCAGTTTTCAACTGTGAAACGACCCTAAGGAGTATCGCAGATTGCCAGAACTTTTCCCTCGGGCTGGGTCCTGGAGTTTATTAAACGCTACAGTATAGCGACCTCAACACCATAGACAAATTTGCTTGCCTGACTCAGACTAATTAAGATGTGCAAAACACGCAGGAGACCTACTAATATTCAGGGAACATCTGCCGCATCTCCGCACATCTTCGGTTACATACGGTGATGCGGGCATCTGACAATCAGCACTTTGGTGGGGCGCGGACGACATTGTGGCCTGCACTGATCAAAATGTTGTCAGGCTTGATGTCGGCATGGATAATCCCACACCTTGGGCTTAGGGCTTGGGTGGTGGAGAACTGAAATATGTGGGGTTAAGTGCGGCGTGGATGCATGGCAATTGCACTGCCACCCGCCAGCCCTGTGGAATACTCTATGGAGGCCTTGCTAATTATAATAGGGTTTTGGGTCATATTCGTCTCACATCATCTTGCCCAATTGCTTCGTCAAGGAAGGAAACTACATCGGAGACTAATTTAAGGTCAAGCCTCCTGACTGCATGGGCAGCTGACATTGGGCATTGACTTTCTACAGTTTGGGGATGGTCTTGTCTAGGATCCTGTCATGATTGTTCTTGATAGTTACCGTTCTGTGAAATTCTGAAACCCGCATATGAGTGCTGTGTTTGAGTTTGAGCTGAGGCCTTCACTTCGTCTTCCATGTCTTCAGATGGTGGGCTTTAGGGCACAGACTGATCGAACAAACATCCCTATGCAAAAGTAAGACGGTGATGGTGGGGCTCAGGGCATGTAATTATGCGGGCTTCTGCAGGCTCGGGATGCGGCTTGTGCAGGTGGCGCAGCGCTATCAGGAGCTGCCTCGTGTACCTGGAGTGGAGGCATATAGACTGACATTGGAGTGCACGAACGTGCAATGCCACAGCTCACAAACACCAACATTGTTGCGTAATTCGAAGGATCACGCACTGGTAAGTGGAGAGAGACTTGAGGTAGCTATAGTTGTCTGTAATCATAACCCCAAGCAGGGTACTTATAACCTTCATTACTAAGTCCCTCACCCCCCCACCCTTGGTAAGGCAAGCATAATACTAGGTTACTAGACATGGGAGTTCCAGCAAGTTCGGCTCGCGTTCGTACTTCCGTTAGAGATCATTAGAGGTACTTTACCGCCAAAGTATGCGCGGTATAGGGACATGGACTGTTGCTATGGTGCACAGATCACTGAATGCTAACACTTCATTTGGGCTTGGGATGGTTAGGTCTTCTGGTACAGAGTTTGGAGTCTGGTGGATTTCCCCTGAATACGACAGGCTTCCTTAAAGGAATAATGAAGAGTTGAAGATGCAGCCTTGCTTGCAAGACTCAGAGCGGAGTTTTGCGGGTTTAGTCCAGCAAACAAAACCCTCGAAACGTAAACCCCTGAACCTCATAGAAGTTCTTGTCAAGCCCCTGTCGATAGTGACAGGATCGGACGGGTACAAATGCACTGCCCGGCGCACGCCCTGACTGCTTGCAGCGACATGCCCTTGTCTTTGGTATACCTCAGACAGGTTGAGGTGTCGGGTCTTGAAGCATGTCTTGATAAGATCTGGTTTATGGAAGGCAGCACCCAAAAGCAGTTTCTATTTGGGGATTCTCGACATCTGTTTTGCCTCTTTCGGGTTGCACGCTTCTTTCCTGGCCGTCTCACCATCTTATCCTTATGCGGTTTAGGAAGCATACCCTCCAACATAGAGAATAAAACACTACCACGGTCGCTCCAAACCTAAATTGGGTACTTCGAACCAGGGACTGGTCTCCCAGTGGACCCTTTTACCCTTTTTTGTAGCCTTTGTTTCCTTCAAAAACAATACAGTTCCAAGAAGGGAGCCCTGGTTATTCCTAGGTCGCTGGGGATCTTAGTCTACTCGAAGTGCACATTCATTGACTGAGAAGCTCTTGAGTCTCTGCGTCCCTCTGAACACCTTTAAACGAGATTCTCCAGCGACTCCTAAGCTTTTTCGGGGACTTGGCTCCTGAGAAGGACCCTTTTGCCCTTTCTAACTTTAGGGTCTCCTTACTGAAGCCGAATAGTAGGAAAATACCATAAGAGTACTCTTTGTAGTTTATAGGTTTTGGGGGTAGAGGGTATTTAGGGATTCCTTAAAGACCTTAGTTTTCAAAAGGGTGTTAAAGCTTGCATTTAGGGTTCAGGCGTTCTCTTAAGTCAAGGCTGTCTATTTGCGATTTGGGGACGGTTTAGGGGTGTGTTTCGAGGGTTCTACGTGCGGCAAACTTTGGTATGGGAGCCCTGGTCGAAGTGTCTGCATCTCTATGCGAGCGATACGATCCAGGTGACCTTGTAAGTAGGGCCGTAAGCAGGCAAAATACGCTAAACAACATAGCCACGAGGACCATCAGTTAAGCACACCTGCAGTCATAAGACGGCTTGACCTTGCCTACTAGATCTCCTGGGCTACCAAGTAGGGTCGTGGGAGGTTGAAGGCTGGCAGATCAGGAATTGGCCGTAACTAGGGCTCTGGCATATGTGAAAACCCTAAGTTTTCTAAGCTCTAAAGCATGGCCCCCAAACACAAAAACCCTGAAAGCCGAGCTGAAACCCGGAGTGACTAAAACGGTCTTGGGTTTAGGGTATAGGTTAAACAGGCCCTTGGTGTCTTTATCTGTTCATAATACTGCCAAATATGGTCCTAATAAGGATCCCTATATACAGCCCCTCAAAACAGCAACCCCAAGTAAAGAGACCACCGACCTATATGAAGTATAGGTGCTACAAACCCAAAACAAGAAACCCTCAAGCCTGCGACCTCAAAGCTCTGAAGACCTGAACCCCCTACGAAACCCTGAAAACTAAGCCCTGAATGGGACCGTGGAGGACTTCAGTTTGATGGTTCAGGTTCGAGGGCTTTGGGCCTTAGGAGGTGTTTATGGATTATCAGGAGTGGGACTGTAAGCTTTAGGGTTTGAAGTTTGAACTCGGATGCTAGGGGTTTGATGTTTGACCGTTTTGAAGTTAGTCGAGATTGGCAGGATTTCCAACTTCTCACGGCAAGAGAACTGGGGCAACTCGAAGATAGAGTTTAGGATGGAGGGCTCCGGAGCACTTCTCCTAAAGCAGAAGGCTTTTGGAATTACAGCACGATGAATCAGGGCTCCGATGCTGGAGCTCGTTCAGGAAGCATCCTACTATTCAGAACAGTCCTTATAAGAAACTTGAACCGAGTTTTTCAGAAAAAGCATCCTATTATTTAGAACAATGCCTAGAAACTCGAATACGGTTGACTTTTTTCTGAAACTCCCGCATAAGCAGTGCATGCCACTGTTTAGAACAATGCCTAGAAACTCGACCAGGGTTATTTTTTCTGAAACTCCCGCGTAAGCAGTGCATCCTACTATTTAGAACAGTGCTTATAAGAAACTTGAGCTCGGCTTTTTTAAAACTCCCACATACTATAGGGACCTTGACAACGAGAATAGAGTTTTGGGGCCTAGTCTACTATAATTTTAAAAAAGAAACCCCAAAATAGTATAGGTAAATTATTTACGCCCCTATATTAAGCAGTTCTGGGTGGCCAGACTTCTTCAGAGCCACGCGTAGGTTGTCCCACATGCACCTTGGTCAGGGCCACAGCAAATCGCGGGAATGTAAACTTGTGACCAATCCCTAACCCTAAACCATATAGCAATATGTATAAATATAAATATAAATATATATATATATATATATATATATATAACTTGGGGGTATAATGTGAGAAATGGATAGGACAATAACAGAACATGACGTATATGACGCCCTTATATAGCCCCGAAACACCTTAAACCCAGACGTTGTGCAAGCTTGCGCTGAAGTCAGCCCGACAGATCTTTAAGAGCCGTGCTCAAAGACCAAACAAAGGTGTCCTCGATAGAGGAAGTGCCGATGGAGACGGATCACATGCCTCACCGGCTGTGCAGGCATTTAGCACGTAGCAATGTCCCCCCAGGCTGCCTGTGCCTGTAAGCCTCTA